TTTTCTTCCTTTTGGGGAGTGTTGTACATGCTGCTATGGCGGTATGTTCACTCACAAGATGAGTGGCGCTGCCCAATACTGTCACTATGGCAGTGTGTCCACTCACAAGATGAGTGACGCTGCCCAATACTGTCACTATGGCGGTGTGTCCACTCACAAGATGAGTGGCGCTGCCCAATACTGTCACTATGGCGGTGTGTCCACTCACAAGATGAGTGGCGCTGCCCAATACTGTCACTATGGCGGTGTGTCCACTCACAAGATGAGTGGCGCTACCCAATACTGTCACTATGGCGGTGTGTCCACTCACAGGATGAGTGACGCTGCCCAATACTGTCACTATGGCGGTGTGTCCACTCACAGGATGAGTGGCGCTGCCCAATACTGTCACTATGGCGGTGTGTCCACTCACAGGATGAGTGACGCTGCCCAATACTGTCACTATGGTGGTGTGTCCACTCACAGGATGAGTGACGCTGCCCAATAAACTCGCCCCTCGGGGCAAAATTAAAAAAAAAAAAATGCTCCTGACCATGCTATGCCCCCCCCCCTCCTTTACCTTGCACACTGGCCCCTGCCCGACCCCTGCCTCTCTCTCCAGCCCAGCCTCTCTCTCCAGCCCTGCCTCTCACTCCAGCCCTGCCTCTCACTCCAGCCCTGCCTCTCACTCCAGCCCTGCCTCTCACTCCAGCCCTGCCTCTCTCTCCAGCCCTGCCTCTCACTCCAGCCCTGCCTCCCTCCCCAGCCCTGCCTCTCACCCCAGCCCTGCCTCTCACTCCAGCCCTGCCTCCCTCCCCAGCCCTGCCTCTCACCCCAGCCCTGCCTCTCTCTCCAGCCCTGCCTCTCTCTCCAGCCCTGCCTCTCTCTCCAGCCCTGCCTCTCTCTCCAGCCCTGCCTCTCTCTCCAGCCCTGCCTCTCTCTCCAGCCCTGCCTCTCTCTCCAGCCCTGCCTCCCTCCCCAGCCCTGCCTCCCTTCCCAGCCCTGCCTCTCTCTCCAGCCCTGCCTCTCTCTCCAGCCCTGCCTCTCTCTCCAGCCCTGCCTCCCTCCCCAGCCCTGCCTCCCTCCCCAGCCCTGCCTCTCTCTCCAGCCCAGCCTCTCTCTCCAGCCCTGCCTCTCTCTCCAGCCCTGCCTCTCTCTCCAGCCCTGCCTCTGTCTCCAGCCCTGCCTCCCTCCCCAGCCCTGCCTCCCTCCCCAGCCCTGCCTCTCACCCCAGCCCTGCCTCTCACCCCAGCCCTGCCTCTCACCCCAGCCCTGCCTCTCACCCCAGCCCTGCCTCTCACCCCAGCCCTGCCTCTCACCCCAGCCCTGTCTCTCACCCGAGCTCTGACTCTCACCCCAGCCCTGCCTCTCACCCCATCCCTGCCTCTCATCCTAGCCTTGCCTCTCACCCTATCCCTGCCTCTCACCCCAGCCCTGCCTCTCACCCCAGCCCTGCCTCTCACCCCAGCCCTGCCTCTCACCCCAGCCCTGCCTCTCACCCCAGCCCTGCCTCTCACCCCAGCCCTGCCTCTCACCCCAGCCCTGCCTCTCACCCCAGCCCTGCCTCTCACCCCAGCCCTGCCTCTCACCCCAGCCTTGCCTCTCATCCCAGCTTTACCTCTCACACAACCTTACAACTACTTATCTCAGCTAGCTCATCTATCACCCAACACTCTATTACACCCTACACCTGTGAAGGCAAACAGACATGATTGTCCTGAGAATTCTGGAAACAGTCTTAAAGTTTGGTACACAAATGCTGATGGAGTTACAAACAACGCAGAGGAAATGTAAGAAAGGGTTAGTGAGGTAGCCCCTGATTAAATTGCAACAGTTGAAACTAAAATATAAACTTTCTATCTGTGATTCAATATTTCCAAGGCGATACAAAGTAATAAGGAGAGAGATCAAGAAAGCAAAGACAAGGAGGGGGACTCCCACCAAACACACACCGAAACTACGACGTTGGTACAACGTTCGATCAAGTTTTAACACCTCCTAACCAGTTATAACAACCGATATAGCAAGTTGTAACTACGTTCTAATACGTCATAAACACGTTAAGCCAAGATGTAACAACTTTATTACAAGCTGTAACAAGCGGGAAATAAAGACAGTTAGGGTTTGTGTTTCCAGGACTGGCGCTCCTAGTGAAGCAAAAGTGGAAGTTTGACTAGAAAATCAGGATGCAGAAAGCTACATAGGCTCACTCACTGGGACTCAGACACCTGATGGGAAAATGAATAATGGTTCTGGTAATTTACAACTCCCTCAGTAAACACAGACGACCTAGATAGGAATGATGATAATGACAAGGCATGTCGGGGAGGTAGATATAGCCTAAGATACTCTATCCCTCCAAGATTACTGTTGGGATTCTGTTACCTAGCAGTAAAATAGGTACCTGGGTTTTAGTCAGCTGTCACGGGCTGCTTCCTGGGGGTGGAGGTTTGGTCGAGGACCGGGCCGCGGGGACACTAAAAAAAAAAAAGGCCCCGAAATCATCTCAACATAACCTCAAGAAGATGTAATTTTTCTTGTCTCAATAAACATACTTGAACTAGAACAAGGAATGTATAGATGAACTGCAGAGAGCAGCAACCACAGCACACATACTGAGAGCCAAACAGTTAGTCATGAGGGACCAAAGCCATGGGAAGATTGACTGAGAATCGGGAACCCTCGTGATTGGGAGGAAAGTGGGGAGCAAATTTGTTGAAGTTGTGGAAAGAAACTTCTTAACACAGCATGTAAAGGTGGACACAAGAGAAAGGGGAGGAGATACACCAAGCCTACTGGACATGATCTTCACCAAGACTGAGGACGACATCCAGAACTTGGAGCATGAACGACCCCCTAAGAACGACCTCTAGGAGCAATTAAGTGACCAATGTGTCCAGAACCTGGAGCATGAAGGACCCCCTTAGAACGACCCCTAGGAGCAAATGACCAATGTGTCCAGAACTTGGAGCATGAACGACCCCCTAAGAACGACCTCTAGGAGCAATTAAGTGACCAATGTGTCCAGAACTTGGAGCATGAAGGACCCCCTTAGAATGACCCCTAGGAGCAATTAAGTGACCAATGTGTCCAGAACTTGGAGCATGAACGCCCCCTCCCCAAGGAACGACCCCCTAGGAGCAAGTGACCAATGTGTCCTGGTATTTACCTTTATGACCGAACTAAAAACAGTGGCCATAAGACTTGTGGTCAGAGAAAGGAGAGTAAACTATAGAAAAAGGGATTACATGCCAGTAGGAGAGTATCTGGGAAGGGTTCAGAGGAAGGAACATCTTAGATGGAAGACAGTTCAGGAGATGATGGAGCAAGTCAAACTGAGGTACAGAGAGGCAGAAGGGAGATTCATACCAACAATAACATGACAATGGCAAGAGAGGACGTAATAACCTATAGTTTAATAGACAATGCCAATAAGCAGCAACGAAAAGCAAGAGGGAGTCGAAGAATTATAGAGGTTAAAGAACAGAGGAAAACCAGAATAGATGCAACAGGCCTAGAAACGAAAAGATAAACATACGAAGAATGTCAGAGAGATACAATGCAAATGAGATTGCCTCTACAGCTAAGCCACAGTCAAAATATTGCCTCTACAGCTAAGCCACAGTCAAAATATTGCCTCTACAGCTAAGCCACAGTCAAAATATTGCCTCTACAGCTAAGCCACAGTCAAAATATTGCCTCTACAGCTAAGCCACAGTCAAAATATTGCCTCTACAGCTAAGCCACAGTCAAAATATTGCCTCTACAGCTAAGCCACAGTCAAAATATTGCCTCTACAGCTAAGCCACAGTCAAAATATTGCCTCTACAGCTAAGCCACAGTCAAAATATTGCCTCTACAGCTAAGCCACAGTCAAAATATTGCCTCTACAGCTAAGCCACAGTCAAAATATTGCCTCTACAGCTAAGCCACAGTCAAAATATTGCCTCTACAGCTAAGCCACAGTCAAAATATTGCCTCTACAGCTAAGCCACAGTCAAAATATTGCCTCTACAGCTAAGCCACAGTCAAAATATTGCCTCTACAGCTAAGCCATAGTCAAAAGTCCTACATAATCATATAAGATCGCGTAACTAGGTTACGAAAAAGGGAGAATATGAAAGAAATGGTAAGGAAATTTGTGAAGAATTTAATTAATGCCAAGACGGGAGAGGTGGGCTGGGTGGGCCGTGACGGGGGTGGTGGGCTGGGTGGGCCGTGACGGGGGAGGAGGGCTGGGTGGGCCGTGACGGGGGAGGTGGGCCGTGACGGGGGTGGTGGGCTGGGTGGGCCGTGACGGGGGAGGTGGGCTGGGTGGGCCGTGACGGGGGAGGTGGGCCGTGACGGGGGTGGTGGGCTGGGTGGGCCGTGACGAGGGAGGTGGGGCGGGACGAGGAAGGTGGGCTGGGTGGGCCGTGACGGGGGTGGTGGGCTGGGTGGGCCGTGACGGGGGAGGTGGGCTGGGTGGGCCGTGACGGGGGAGGTGGGCTGGGTGGGCCGTGACGGGGGTGGTGGGCTGGGTGGGCCGTGACGGGGGTGGTGGGCTGGGTGGGCCGTGACGGGGGAGGTGGGCTGGGTGGGCCGTGACGGGGGAGGTGGGCCGTGACGGGGGTGGTGGGCTGGGTGGGCCGTGACGAGGGAGGTGGGCTGGGTGGGCCGTGACGGGGGAGGTGGGCCGGGACGAGGGAGGTGGGCTGGGTGGGCCGTGACGGGGGTGGTGGGCTAGGTGGGACGTGACGAAGGAGGTGGGATGGGTGGGCCGTGACCGGGGAGGTGGGCCGTGACGGGGGTGGTGGGCTGGGTGGGTCGTGACGGGGGAGGTGGGCTGGGTGGGCCGTGACGAGGGAGGTGGGCTGGGTGGGCCGGGACGGGGGTGGTGGGCAGGGTGGGCCGTGACGGGGGAGGTGGGCTGGGTGGGCCGTGACGGGGGTGGTGGGCTGGGTGGGTCGTGACGGGGGAGGTGGGCTGGGTGGGCCGTGACGGGGGAGGTGGGCTGGATGGGTCGTGACGGGGGAGGTGGACTAGGTGGGTCGTGACGGGGGAGGTGGGCCGTGACGGGGGTGGTGGGCTGGGTGGGCCGTGACGGGGGAGGTGGGCTGGGTGGGCCGTGACGGGGGAGGTGGGCTGGGTGGGCCGTGAAGGGGGTGGTGGGCTGGGTGGGCCGTGACGGGGGTGGTGGGCTGGGTGGGCCGTGACGGGGGAGGTGGGCTGGGTGGGCCGTGACGGGGGAGGTGGGCCGTGACGGGGGTGGTGGGCTGGGTGGGCCGGGACGAGGGAGGTGGGCTGGGTGGGCCGTGACGGGGGTGGTGGGCTAGGTGGGACGTGACGAAGGAGGTGGGATGGGTGGGCCGTGACCGGGGAGGTGGGCCGTGACGGGGGTGGTGGGCTGGGTGGGTCGTGACGGGGGAGGTGGGCTGGGTGGGCCGTGACGAGGGAGGTGGGCTGGGTGGGCCGGGACGGGGGTGGTGGGCAGGGTGGGCCGTGACGGGGGAGGTGGGCTGGGTGGGCCGTGACGGGGGTGGTGGGCTGGGTGGGTCGTGACGGGGGAGGTGGGCTGGGTGGGCCGTGACGTAGGAGGTGGGCTGGATGGGTCGTGACGGGGGAGGTGGACTAGGTGGGTCGTGACGGGGGAGGTGGGCTGGGTGGGCCGTGACGGGGGAGGTGGGCTGGGTGGGTCGTGACGGGGGAGGTGGGCTGGGTGGGCCGTGACGGGGGAGGTGGGCTGGGTGGGCCGTGACGAGGGAGGTGGGCTGGGTGGGTCGTGACGGGGGAGGTGGGCTGGGTGGGCCGTGACGGGGGAGGTGGGCTGGGTGGGCCGTGACGGGGGAGGTGGGCTGGGTGGGTCGTGACGGGGGAGGTGGGCTGGGTGGGCCGTGACGGGGGAGGTGGGCTGGATGGGTCGTGACGGGGGAGGTGGGCTGGAGAAAGCCGCAGAAAAAGTGTCAATATTGGTATAAGAGAAATGATCGCTCAAGACGCATGTCGGAATTATTATCATCAATTAAAATATTTAGAATAGCCGACAGACGAAGTGAGGCAGGTTACTGGAGTAGTGAGGCAGGTTACTGGAGCCATGAGGCAGGTTACTGGAGCCATGAGGCAGGTTACTGGAGCCATGAGGCAGGTTACTGGAGCCATGAGGCAGGTTACTGGAGCCATGAGGCAGGTTACTGGAGCCATGAGGCAGGTTACTGGAGCCATGAGGCAGGTTACTGGAGTAGTGAGGCAGGTTACTGGAGCCATGAGACAGGTTACTGGAGCCATGAGGCAGGTTACTGGAGCCATGAGGCAGGTTACTAGAGCCATGAGGCAGGTTACTGGAGCCATGAGGCAGGTTACTGGAGCCATGAGGCCGGTTACTGGAGTAGTGAGGCAGGTTACTGGAGTAGTGAGGCAGGTTACTGGAGCCATGAGGCAGGTTACTGGAGCAGTGAGGCAGCTTACTGGAGCCATGAGGCAGGTTACTGGAGCCATGAGGCAGGTTACTGGAGCAGTGAGGCAGGTTACTGGAGCCATGAGGCAAGTTTCTGGAGCGATGAGGCAGGTTACTGGAGCCATGAGGCAGGTTACTGGAGTAGTGAGGCAGGTTACTGGAGTAGTGAGGCAGGTTACTGGAGCAGTGAGGCAGGTTACTGGAGCCATGAGACAGGTTACTGGAGCGATGAGGCAGGTTACTGGAGCCATGAGGCAGGTTACTGGAACAGTGAGGCAGGTTACTGGAGCCATGAGGCAGGTTACTAGAGCCATAAGGCAGGTTACTGGAGCCATGAGGCAGGTTATTGGAGCCATGAGGCAGGTTACTGGAGCCATGAGGCAGGTTACTGGAGCCATGAGGCAGGTTACTGGAGCCATGAGGCAGGTTACTGGAGCCATGAGGCAGGTTACTGGAGTAGTGAGGCAGGTTACTGGAACAGTGAGGCAGGTTACTGGAGCCATGAGGCAGGTTACTAGAGCCATAAGGCAGGTTACTGGAGCTGTGAGGCAGGTTACTGGAGCCATGAGGCAGGTTACTGGAGCAGTGAGGCAGGTTACTGGAGCCATGAGGCAAGTTTCTGGAGCCATGAGGCAGGTTACTGGAGCCATGAGGCAGGTTACTGGAGTAGTGAGGCAGGTTACTGGAGTAGTGAGGCAGGTTACTGGAGCAGTGAGGCAGGTTACTGGAGCCATGAGAGAGGTTACTGGAGCCATGAGGCAGGTTACTGGAGCCATGAGGCAGGTTACTGGAGCCATGAGGCAGGTTACTGGAGCCATGAGGCAGGTTACTGGAGCCATGAGGCAGGTTACTGGAGTAGTGAGGCAGGTTACTGGAGCAGTGAGGCAGGTTACTGGAGCCATGAGGCAGGTTACTGGAGCCATGAGGCAGGTTACTGGAGCAGTGAGGCAGGTTACTGGAGCCATGAGGCAGGTTACTGGAGCAGTGAGGCAGAATGCTCCTAGTGAGGCAGGTTACTGGAGCCATGAGGCAGGTTACTGCAGCAGTGAAGCAGGTTACTGGAACAGTGAGGCAGGTTACTGGAGCAGTGAGGCAGGCTGCTCCTAGTGAGGCAGGTTACTGGAGCCATGAGGCAGGTTACTGGAGCCATGAGGCAGGTTACTGGAGCAGTGAGGCAGGCTGCTCCTAGTGAGGCAGGTTACTGGAGCCATGAGGCAGGTTACTGCCGCACTGAAGCAGGTTACTGGAACAGTGAAGCAGGTTACTGGAACAGTGAGGCAGGTTACTGGAGCAGTGAGGCAGGCTGCTCCTAGTGAGGCAGGTTACTGGAGCCATGAGGCAGGTTACTGGAGCAGTGAAGCAGGTTACTGGAGCAGTGAGGCAGGTTACTGGAGCAGTGAGGCAGGTTACTGGAGCCATGAGGCAGGTTACTGGAGCAGTGAAGCAGGTTACTGGAACAGTGAAGCAGGTTACTGGAGTAGTGAGGCAGGTTACTGGAGCAGTGAGTCAGGTTACTGGAGCCATGAGGCAGGTTACTGGAGCGGTGAGGCAGGTTACTGGAGCAGTGAGCCATGAGGCAGGTTACTGGAGTCATGCGGCAGGTTACTGAAGCCATGAGGCAGGTTACTGGAGCAGTGAGGCAGGTTACTGGAGCGTGAGGCAGGTTACTGAAGCCATGAGGCAGGTTACTGGAGCAGTGAGGCAGGTTACTGGAACAGTGAGGCAGGTTACTGGAGCAGTGAGGCAGGTTACTGGAGCCATGAGGCAGGTTACTGGAGCAGTGAAGCAGGTTACTGGAACAGTGAAGCAGGTTACTGGAGCCATGAGGCAGGTTACTGGAGCAGTGAAGCAGGTTACTGGAACAGTGAAGCAGGTTACTGGAGTAGTGAGGCAGGTTACTGGAGCAGTGAGTCAGGTTACTGGAGCCATGAGGCAGGTTACTGGAGCGGTGAGGCAGGTTACTGGAGCAGTGAGCCATGAGGCAGGTTACTGGAGTCATGAGGCAGGTTACTGAAGCCATGAGGCAGGTTACTGGAGCAGTGAGGCAGGTTACTGGAGCGTGAGGCAGGTTACTGAAGCCATGAGGCAGGTTACTGGAGCAGTGAGGCAGGTTACTGGAACAGTGAGGCAGGTTACTGGAGCAGTGAGGCAGGTTACTGGAGCCATGAGGCAGGTTACTGGAGCAGTGAAGCAGGTTACTGGAACAGTGAAGCAGGTTACTGGAGAAGTGAGGCAGGTTACTGGAGCAGTGAGGCAGGTTACTGGAGCCATGAGGCAGGTTACTGGAGCAGTGAAGCAGGTTACTGGAACAGTGAAGCAGGTTACTGGAGCAGTGAGGCAGGTTACTGGAGCAGTGAGGCAGGTTACTGGAGCAGTGAGGCAGGTTACTGGAGCCATGAGGCAGGTTACTGGAGTCATGAGGCAGGTTACTGAAGCCATGAGGCAGGTTACTGGAGCAGTGAGGCAGGTTACTGGAGCAGTGAGGCAGGTTACTGGAGCCATGAGGCAGGTTACTGGAGCCATGAGGCAGGTTACTGGAGCCATGAGGCAGGTTACTGGAGCCATGAGGCAGGATACTGAAACCATGAAGCAGGTTACTGAAGCAGTGAGGGAAGTTACTGGAGCAGTGAGGCAGGTTACTGGAGCAGTGAGGGAAGTTACTGGAGCAGTGAGGCAGGTTACTGGAGCAGTGAGGGAAGTTACTGGAACAGTGAGGCAGGTTATTTGGACAGTGATGCAGGTTACTGGAATAGTGAGGCAGGTTACTGGAACAGTGACGCAGGTTACTGGAGCAGTGAGGCAGGTTACTGGAACAGTGAGGCAGGTTAATGGAGCAGTGAGGCAGGTTACTGGAACAGTGAGGAAGGTTATTGGAAAAGTAAGACAGGTTATTGGAGCAGTGAGGCAGGTTACTGGAGCAGTGAGGCAGGTTACTGGAGCAGTGAGGCAGGATACTCCTAGTGAGGCAGGTTACTGGAGCAGTGAGGCAGGTTACTGGAGCAGTGAGGCAGGTTACTGGAGCAGTGAGGCAGGTTACTGGAGCAGTGAAGCAGGTTACTGAAACAGTGAGGCCGGTTACTGGAACAGTGAGGCAGGTTACCGGAGCAGTGAGGCAGGTTACTGGAGCAGTGAGGCAGGTTACTGGAACAGTGAGGCAGGTTACTGGAACAGTGAGGCAGGTTACTGGAACAGTGAGGCAGGTTACTGGAACAGTGAGGCAGGTTACTAGAACAGTGAGGCAGGTTAAAGGAACAGTGAGGCAGGTTACTGGAGCCATGAGGCTGCTTACTGGAGCAGTGAGGCAGGTTACTGGAACAGTGAGGCAGGTTACTGGAACAGTGAGGCAGGTTACTGGAACAGTAAGGCAGGTTACTGGAACAGTGAGGCAGGTTACTGGAACAGTGAGGCAGGTTACTAGAACAGTGAGGCAGGTTACTGGAACACTGAGGCAGGTTACTGGAGCCATGAGGATGCTTACTGGAGCAGTGAGGCAGGTGACTAGAACAGTGAGGCAGGTTACTGGAACAGTGAGGCACGTTACTGGAACAGTGAGGCAGGTTACTGGAGCAGTGAGGCAGGTTACTGGAGCCATGAGGCAGGTTACTGAAGCCATGAGGCAGGTTACTGGAGCAGTGAGGCAGGTTACTGGAACAGTGAGGCAGGTTACTGGAGCAGTGAGGCAGGTTACTGGAGCCATGAGGCAGGTTACCGGAGCAGTGAAGCAGGTTACTGGAATAGTGAAGCAGGTTACTGGAGCAGTGAGGCAGGTTACTGGAGCAGTGAGGCCGGTTACTGGAGCCATGAGGCAGGTTACTGGAGCAGTGAAGCAGGTTACTGGAACAGTGAAGCAGGTTACTGGAGCTGTGAGGCAGGTTACTGGAGCAGTGAGGCAGGTTACTGGGGCCATGAGGCAGGTTACTGGAGCCATGAGGCAGGTTACTGGAGCCATGAGGCAGGTTACTGGAGTCATGAGGCAGGTTACTGAAACCATGAGGCAGGTTACTGAAACCATGAAGCAGGTTACTGAAGCAGTGAGGGAAGTTACTGGAGCAGTGAGGCAGGTTACTGGAGCAGTGAGGGAAGTTACTGGAGCAGTGAGGCAGGTTACTGGAGCAGTGAGGGAAGTTACTGGAGCCATGAGGCAGGTTACTGGAGTCATGAGGGAGGTTATTGGAACAGTGAGGCAGGTTACTGGAGCAGTGAGGCTGGTTACTTGGACAGTGAGGCAGGTTACTGGAGCCATGAGGCAGGTTACTGGAACAGTGAGGCAGGTTATTTGGACAGTGAGGCAGGTTACTGGAATAGTGAGGCAGGTTACTGGAACAGTGACGCAGGTTACTGGAGCAGTGAGGCAGGTTACTGGAACAGTGAGGCAGGTTAATGGAGCAGTGAGGCAGGTTACTGGAACAGTGAGGAAGGTTATTGGAAAAGTAAGACAGGTTATTGGAGCAGTGACGCAGGTTACTGGAGCAGTGAGGCAGGTTA